TATTAATAGTTAATTATTAGTTATAGTATATATATATATATATATATATATATATATATATTTACAGCAAGATTAGAGACTAGTTGTAAAATTTTAATTAATCCTCTGACAAAGCTTTAAAAGTATGGTTTAAATGCCAAAAGTTGGCAGTGTATTGGAAATTCAATAGGAAAATTAAACACTAAAGCCAGTGATATATTGGGAACCAATAGGCGTAATAGTTGATATAAAAAGTTAACTTTTTATTCCACTGAAATTTATGACAATACAAAACAAAAAGCATGTTGGCCTTTATATATTCTTAGCTTGCCAAAGAATATCTTTTTTTTGTGATGAAAATTTCATAATTCAAAATTAATCAAATATTTCAGGAAGTCTAGATTTCCCTACAGGTAGCTATTAAAACAAGTTTTTAAAGCTTCATAATTTTTATATTTTGTAAGTGTTCATGATGAGCAATTTTTACGTTATTACATCAAGAAATGAAACATTAAATGTATAAAGGCTAGTCAGGTAATTGTACTTAATATCAGTCTTTCTCCAGTTGAACTTTGTTGTGAAATGACTTTTACGTTGTTGTTTCCATTTGAGTCTTTTTCCAGTAGGTCTGTTTAATTTCTTGATGTAATAACAGAAAAATTGCTCATCACAAGCATTTACAAATTCAGACAATTATGAAGCTTTAAAAACTTGTTGTAATAGCTACCTGTAGAGAGATCTAGACAACACGAAATATTTGATAAATTTTGAATTATGAAATTTTTTTTAATATTTGTACATACAAACATTTCAATTTGGGTCAATATAAAGAATAGTTCGTGATTTTATAACTTTTAAGATAGATTATTTTTTACACTTAAAATTTTAGTTTTTCATAACTAGAAAAGAATCATTTGTTTTTTAGATTTTCTTATCGATTCAAAACGAGAAAATCAAGAATGACTATATCTATCTCAGCTGGCTAGCTCGATGTTGTAAGTAAAACTCTTTTAACACTTTATTCATGTAAATAATTACTATTACGTTATTATGACAGATACAAAAACCTACAATTATGTTATTATATTTTCATGTTAAATGGTTAATCTTACATAAAAATTTGATTTCATTTTATTTTTTTAGCAATAAATGTCAAACCTAGGCTGATTACATTTCTTATATTTTACAGACATAATGAACAGAAAGGGCCGTTTAGCATGGGAACTTTACTTGAAAATGGAGACCTCAGCAGAATCATTTAGTTTACTTCAGCTGATAGCCAATGATTGTTATAAGGTAGTCTTTCTTTTTGAAACACATGTTTGCATTGTAAATTTTGTAATTCACTTCTGTGGAGGGTAGAGTTGATTGGCTTAAGTCAGTGGTTGTTAATTGCTAGGTTATGTGTATTATTTTTAATAAGGTTATAAAATTGTCAACTTTCATCTCGCTTCATTACTTTCAAAGGTAGTTCAACATTTTTCGTTCTCTTCATTTAGCTCTTGGATATATTATAGTCATGTCTAATCATGAGAAGTTTTGAAGAAGTACAAACCCTTTGGATATTTTATGTGTTGCTTTACTTGTTCAGTATTCAGATTAGACATTTGGTTTAGATTATTTTCAGAACTATATAAGTGTTATAATAGCATGACAGTTACAAAATTTTACAGACCTGATGTAGAAACCTCTTCATTATGCATAATTCGAAACATATGGCTAAGTTACCTGCATTTGTTTCTGTGGAACTAATAAGAAAATGATTTTGCTTTCCACTCTATATCATAGCTGTCTAAAAGATAATTGATATCCATATTTCTTATTTGAATAATTTTAATTTAAAGTTTTGTATAACATATTTCTTAGAAAACAAGTATATAACACATTTTGTAATACTTGTTCCTTTTCTTTTCAACATAAGTAACATCTTTGAAAACAACAGTCAGTTGTATAATAAATGATGTGCATTCTATAATAGTGTTAGAGAATTGATAGTACCAGTTTAAAAACTATAGATTGTTGGTTTATTTGTCATTGTAAGCAAGTGTTGATATGTATTCTAGTGCTACATTGAAAAAAATACTCGTCTTAGTTCTCATTTGGATTTAAAACCGTGTATTACACTAGATATATTGAATACAAATTTGTTACTTAAAAAACAAAATGAAAAAGTTTGGTAGTCACTTGAGTATCTTAATAAATAACATGCCAATATAAAATGTACTGTAGAAATTGCACACAGTTGTAAACTTTCTTTATAGACAACTTTATTCAACATAATGAGACTGTTTTTTATGTTAGAAGATTTCACAGGAACATTTTTACTAGTATCGTAGTTTTTCTTTAATTCTTAAAGTGTAATTGTACTTGAAGCTAATAACTAGTAGTTATGTGTTCTGTAAGGAAAGTTATTCTCTCTTTAACATTACTGTCATTAACCATAATAGTTAGAATGTTTAATATATCTAGTTATATTAGTAATCAATTAATTTTTCTGAAAACATAGCTTAATGATGATACAAAACATGAACATAATAATATGAAGCACTTATTAAGTGTTTCAGAATCTTCAGTAATCTAGAGGCACAAAACAAACACAACTGCAATTATAACAGAAATATAATATAGTTTGTTATACATAAGAAGTAAACAATTTGAATATAAAAAGTATAACAAGAAAAAATTAAAAGTATGTAGCACAAATAAAATAGTTGAATTAGAATAGGTTTAAATAGGATGAAAGAAGAGTTTTTATGTATATTTTCCTTTTATTAGAAGTTCAGTAGCAACATTTGGCTGTTGAGAGATTTTTCAAGTTAGGGAAAGAAATCAGATGGCCTGTTTCTATATTGTACTGATAGATAGCTGAGTTGGGAGAGTTTGTAACCTCCTTTCCAGTTTTTATAGATATGCCCATATGTTCAAATGCTAGTACTTTAAGGTAACTTTTGGTTTCACCAATATAGGAGGCCCTACAGTCTCCACAAGTGCATAAGTAGAAGAGATGTGAATAATGGGTAGTCAGCACATGATATTTGTAGCAGAAACAATTTTTAGTCTGATATTAGATTTAAGAATAACTTTCAGGTCAATTTGAGGATAGTAAGTGTCACATAATGTTTTCAACTGTCTCCCAAGTTTGGGTACAGTGAGTATTTTAGATGGCTTGAAAACATATTAGTTAAGAATGAGTAAGTTATTTTCTCTAAGAAATGCTTAAGTTACCTTTGCCTGAGTGATGATATTATATGTAATTTACATTAAATTTCATACTTTTTAATGAGATGGTAAATAAATTAGAAAAGAAGAGATGCCTAGAGGGTAAATACCACAATTCTCACATTAGGAGAAATTCTAGTTTGTTTGTTTTTTTCATATTGCTGTATAAAATTATGAACTTAAAACTTGTACACTATTAAAATCTGGATTATTAGCTATGTTGTATGCTATATTCATTGGTATAACATGAAAAGAAAGTAGTTTTATTAAATTTTGAATGTATGTGCAGAAAAAGATGCCCATGGAGAGAGGGTTAATGTAGTACAAAATAGTGGTAAGAATTTCCCAACTAATATTATTAGCTATATTGGATGTTTCTTTCTTAAAAATTATTTGTGCTGGCTTATTTATCTTTCATGATATTTTGAACCTGTTCTTGAATGTGGAGAAAATAAAGTTGTTAACAACAACTTTCTTCTCTGGCTACATGACATTAATTACAGTAATTATGTACAATTGAAAGTCTTAACATTAAAAGGTTGTTTTGTTATTTAAGCAATGTTGGCAATGATGTGCTTCTAGTTACTATAGTATTTGAAGAAAATTTTAACAAGGAATTTTACATGTACATGCTGTCAAATATGCATTTTAGAGCACAAAAAGTAAGCACTAGAATAAACTGTCTCCAAAATACCATAGTTTAACTGGCTTTGTAGCTAAGTTATATATAGATTAAAAGAATTAATTTTGTTAGCTGCTCAGAGCAATGAAATGAATCAACTATTATTAAGCTTTCCTTGCCAGCTAATGTCTTTAATTTGAATAGTTCACAATTTGCTCTTTCTTTTGGTTATAAACATATACTTAAGAAAAGCTCAAGTATGTAAGTGACTTCAAAAAAATGAAGAGATTGGAGGGACTTCTCTCAGGAGTTTGGTAAATTATTGATAAATCAGCAAATCAAGAAGATGAGAGGATATAAACATATATTTAACTTGTCAGTATGTGCAGTTTGATTATTCTTGGTTAGGCACTACAGAAGCTTTATTGTAGAAGGAATAAAATTTAAAGACAATAATTCACAGTGTGGAGGTGTCTTGTGGCACACAAAAGTAAATACTGAGAATTTTTTTCTGCTTCCCTTTGAATTAAGAAATTATATTTTATTGAATATTAAAAGTTGAATTATAAACTATGATTTGATCCCAAGATTATTGACATACATTGAAAGTAAAGTTGTTAAATTTTGAATGCAACTATGTAAAAAGGTCGTGACATGCTCACATTGGCTCACTGTATGCTAAGGGTTAATTACTATGGTCTGATGGACTTTTTATTTCAATTTGTTTAATCAACCTATAGAGCACTGCCTGAAAAATGGTTATGAAGTTCACAAATGTTTGGTTTGTTAAAAACTAGTGTTATAGTCTCAACTTTGTGTTTTGTAATAATTTTGTTTCAGATGGGTCAGTTTTTCTATGCAGCTAAGGCATTTGATGTATTGGAAAAGATGGACCCAAACCCAGAATACTGGGAAGGTAAGCGAGGAGCTTGTGTTGGAACCTTCCAGATGATTATTGCTGGAAATGAACCAAAGTAAGCAAATATGTATGTTTGGAGTTTATACTTAAGCAGTGTTTTGTTTAACTTGTAAAATAAATGATTGGCACATAGTTCTGAAACACACCTCCTCTCACATTTTAGCTTTATTTCTCTTTGCTTATTTAAGCATTGGTATGAATTCTACCTTGCTTGCTCCAGTCTTTATACCCCACTATATTGCCCCTAGTAATTTTAATCTTGTAACTCTCTCCACCTACGTCAGAGCACCCTCCATACCTGATCCGTATATAAGCTCTCTATAATTCATTCTTATTTGCTTTTTCTTGACAGCAAAAATTACAAAGATGGTCTTAGGTGTTTACTGCAGGTTTCTTTTCAGCACTATTACTACATTTTCAACATTTTCTTTTCAATTATTTTATATCTTTTTCGTGCAGCTTGAGTTTATTGTTTATTTTTTTGATTTACAAATAAAAAAAATTTTTGGAAACATTTTTCGAATATGAATATGTTCACATCTCAGATGTCCCTCCTCTACCATCTCACAAGTCTGACCTTACTCAGTTGTCGGGGGTGGGGGACAACTGTTGTCTGAGGCCCATCATAGATCCCCTGCTCAAATTTCAGAGGATCTTATTCATTAATTGACTTCCACTTTGGTCAGGTTATCAGCTTCTGCTCTCTCCTTGGTGCCCCCAGTGGCACAGCGGTATTTCTGAGGACTTACAACGCTAGAAACCGGGTTCTGATACCCATGGTGGGCAGAGCACACATAGCCCATTGTGTAGCTTTGTGCTTAATTACAAACATATAAACAAACTCTCCTTGGTATCATGGTTGGTTTGTTGCTGGGATGTTTTGAAGAGAAATGCCTTATTGGAAGGAGTTTACCTTCTGACATTGGCCGTTAGAGATCTCAGAGAGGTTCCTTTTCTCAGATAGTCTATTTTTGCAGAAATTCTAGACTCCACGGAGTCTAGAGCAGATGTGGCCTGTCTACATTCTTCACTTTCTACACTGGCTTCTTGACTGTCCCAGAGTTCTTCTACATGACAGTTTACTGTATCTCTCATTTGAGTTTCCAGACCTGCTTCGGTGCCACAATCCATTGGAACACAAAGGAGATTTCAACCTTACCAGTGGGAATCCTTCTCCAGGGTGGAACACAGATTTTGGTGTTGGTGACTACCTTATGGGGTCAGATCCTGTAGGGTCTCATCTTAGAGGGTTCGTGTCAGTATGGGAGACATTAACCACAGATCAGTGGATCATTCAAGTGGATTGGTCTTTCAGTTCATGTCTCCTCTTCCTCTGTCTCTCATACTGGTTGACTTTTCATTTTCCAGGGACCTTCTTACTTCTAACCATCGAGCACAAGCCATCCAGGATCTTCTGCACAAAGAAGACATAGAGCACGTCACCTCCTCTCTCAAAGGTTTTTAGTTAGTAGTACCGAAAAGACTGCCGACTGGTCATTGACCTCCCTTCTCTCCAGCCTCCTTAGTTTCAAATGGTGTTGTTTCTTTCCCTTTGGTGGCTTTTTTCACCCGGGCTATGGATGACCAAATTCAATGTCACAGATGCCTACTTTCATATCCCGATTGCCAAGTCTTCAAGGTGTTATCTCCCTTTCATGCATGACAAAAGGTTCACAGATGCTTCTCTTCAGGGCTGGGGTGATTGTATAGAAAATATAGAATTCCAAGGACTTTGAACAGTAGAGGAAGCTTCTCTCCACATCAGTCTCTTAGAACACTTAGCAGTTCAATGAGCTATGACTCAGGGTCTCAAATTGGTGGTAATGCATTATTCAGACAATTCCACACTAGTCTCATACATTTCAAAGAAAGGAGGTACTCCCTCCAGTTGTTGTTTTTGAACAGTGAATCTTCTCCTCTGCACTCACAAACACCAAATTGTTCACCTTACTTGTCATGTTCCAGGGGTAATGAATTTAGTGGCCAACCAGTTATCTCATCCCAACAGAGCTTTTCCTACAGATTGGATGCTTCATCCTGAAGTTTTGTGTTGGATCTGCTGTTGTCTAGGGACACCACAGATCGATGCTTTCACCATATGCTGGACTGCTTAACTCCCGTCCTTCTGGTCTCCATTACCTTACCCTCGTGACTTTTGGAGTAGGTGCTCTCAGCCATAATTGGACAGATCCCTCTATATTCCATCCGATTCATGTACTTTCCAAGGTTCTGGCACTGATTCGCTCCAGGTTCTGTTAAGTTTTTCTGGTGGCACCTTATTGGCCAGGTCAGCCCTGGTTTCCATTCCTCCAGTAACTTCAGGAGTACCAGCCTCTTCCCCTTTCTCCCTGGCTGGTCATCTCTCTCTCTTACATCAGCCTTGGTCTGATATTTTTCATCCAGCATTGGGCGTTCTTCAATTTCATGGCTGGATTTTACATGGCTATTATATGACATTAGGGATTGATGTCTCAAGTGGCATCCTTATTCACACATTCCATTTAACATCCTGCTTTGGAAGTTTATCAAAGGAATGGTTTACTTATCATCAGTGATCTCTCATACATGGGGTAAACCCTTCATGTCCCACTGCACTGCATGTGTCTCAATTTTTGACATGGTTGACAAAGATTTGATGCCTTGTCTGTTGCCTTATCAGCTACTTTTCGTTTTTCTAAGAGAAGAAAAATTTTGAGTCCCCAGTTTTGTCATTACTTTTGAAATCATATTGGGTTATCTGTCATCAACACTCTTTCCAGATTCCTAATTGGGATATCATAGTGGTTCTCTATGCATTAATGTGTCCACATTTTGAACCTTTGGGGTCATGTTCACTATATCATCTTTCACTTACAACATATTATTTTCTGTTATTGGCCAGAGGGCATCGACGTTCAGATATGTTTGTGCTTCATGTTCACAAGACACTGTATCATTCCAACTATGTTCTGTTGTATCCATACAGGTCCTTTCTCCCTAAAAATGCTGCAGTTAGGAAAGGAGATAAGGCTTTCTCTCCTATTCATCTTCCCTCCATTTCCCACTTATACAACCATTTGGATCTGGATTTATTTTTATGCCCTGTTGAGACTCACTGATATTATGTGGCACACACTAAAGCATTTTGGGGCTCATGTCATCAGTTATTTATCCTTTGGGATCCTTTGGAATCACGACTTATCCCCTGTCACACTGACAAGTTGGATTTGTTAGTTGGTTCAGATAGCTTACTCTGGTTTTCCATTGAAGGAACAGAGACTTCTTAGAGCTTCACCTCTTAAAGTTCGACATATATTGATGTCCCTTATAGCTCAGTTGCATCAACTACTGGAAAGAATTGTACGGGTTGGTATGTGGACCACACCTAACACCTTTATATCACATTATTTACAGGATTTAGCAGTTTCCTCCTCTGATGGATTTCGACTACATTCCCATGGCTGTTCTACATGCCCTGGCTTGATTGTGACAGCGGTGAGTAACTTCATTCCTTTTCATGGACCTTCTCGTCATTCTCATTTGGATCCTACTCAGTGGTGAGTGTTGCGTGATCAGGTATGCTTTACTAAATCTGTATTAGCTACCTGTAGACTAGTAACTAAATTACTGGTAGCAATGAGTTCTGTTGAGATGAGGTGCTCAATAAGACTGCCTTGGCACTTTTCAGGTGGTGAACAATTGTTCTATATCAAATATAGTATACAATACTGGACTGCCACTTCTGGACTAGTATGAGTAAAGCATGAAGGGACTTTGCCTATCCCTACTAACCCCATAAGTTGAACAAATCGGGGTTGGTTTGCTTTTCAAAATAGAGAACGTGGTTCACCTATTGCACTTTCTGCAGATCATTGTTCCTCAGGGACTCCTCAATATGAGTCACTACTCCCCACCCCTCTCTTCTAGTGGAGCAAGGGAGTCCTTACCACTCTCAGTTTCTCTTTGTTGGAGTGGTGGACATAGGCCTGTCTATACCTCCTGAATGATGTTTGTACTCTCTATTCCACTCAAGGAGAAGAGGGCAAAGCTGGATACCCTCCCATCCTTAACCCTGGATGTTTTTCCCAGATGCCAGGTTAGAAGCCCCTTCATAATTCCAGTTCAGAGATGACACTTCACTAGCCAGTTGTGTGAGCATGGCCCTTCTTATTTTAGTTCTCTTACCTTCCATGGTCATGGAAGAGAGTCCTTGACTCCTCCTAATACCACATGCTGAGCATCTCGTCTATGAGCTATTGGTTGAACTTCGTGTTTTTCACATCCTCCTCTTAATTCTGAGAATAGGAGGTGTTACCTTGCCTCCAAGGTTGAGGAGTTAGGATTTCAGTTCATAATCCCAGACTGGATGATCTCTTTCTTCAGCTTGAGTGAGGTGTGAATTGGCTCTGTAATTCCAAGTTTAGTTTGTTGCATTCTAAGCATCTTCAGGTTGGAGGGAAGACTTGTCCAGTTGGATGTTGCTTGCCTTCCTTTCATAATTCCAGGGGCTCGTATTTGACATTCTGTAACTTTCAGGTTGGATTCCTGGGCCGGTAATTCCAAGTTCAGTTTGTTGCATTTTGTACTTCTTCAGGTTGGAGTGAGGGTTTGTCCACTTAGGTGTTGCTTGCCTTCTCTTTGTAACTCTGGTGGCTCAACATGCAATATCCTGTAACTTTCGGGTTGGGTTCCCTTCATATCGTATTCCTATTATACAGTTATATCGTATTGCATTCCCCATGCCCTAGCCACTACACCTTGGAGCTAGCTATAATTCCAACAATAAGACGTGGAACCTCGTCTGTGTGTTGGGGCCTGGACAAACCTCGTGATAATGAACAGTGTTGACTATGTATCTGGTTGGCCTTTACTGCCCATGTCTAGATTTCACTTTATCTGGATGACGATTATACCGGTTCCATAAGTAGTTTGGATCCCCTCTAATGTGCTTTATGTCTAAATTTTGCACACCTGTTTTTTTTACACAGACGCTTTCTGTGTGGATCTTACCTTCACTGGCCCCTCCACCTGGTCAGTGTGGGATTCTAGCTAAAGTGTGAGAGGAAGTAAATGTGTTTCAGAAGTTTACATTTTCCTATATCAAAAAATGTATTTCCAATAATACTTGCCTCTTTTCACACTATCCCACCTTTCCTCTCCACAATAGCTGGTCTTTGGGTCTGATAATCTTGAGACTCTCAAAAAAGTGAATAAGAAAGAATAATGGGGAGATTGTATAGAGATCGAGTATAAAGGGTGTATTGACGTAGGTGGAGAGAGTCACGAGATTAAAATCACTTAGGGTGATATAGTGTGGTATAAAGACTGGAGCAAGCAAGGAAGATTTCATACCAATACTTAGACAGGCTAAAGCTAAAGTGTAAGTGGAGGAAAGTATTATTGGAAATAAATTTTTGGTATAGAAAAATTTAAACTTTTGTAAGCATACTTCCAGAAATTAGGGGCTGAATGAAATCATTGTACTGTGTAAACATTACAGTTAACACAAACTAAAGTACAATGTTAAAATATTGTTGATATACAATAGTTGCATGCACTATAGTATAGGAAAAATGGGCAAATACATAATTGCACTTAAATGCTTTTGTGAATGTTTAGAAACATTTTGAATTATTATTAAAGAGAATTTTTATTTTGTGATTTCTATCAGAGAAGTTTTCTCAAGATTTACAACACATGTTCTTAAAATAGTTCTTTTCAATGGGCAGAAGATCTGAACATGACTATTACAAAGTATCTAAGGGAACAGGAATTGAAGTTTTATACATAAAAATGTTGAATACAAGTTAAGAGAGATCATTAGCTCACGTTATAATGTGATGGTTAGATCACATTTCAAATGTTGTGTCCAGTTTTTGTCACCTTAAGAAATAATGTTGAATCATTGGAGAGGGTTCAGATAAAAGCTACTCACCCTTAACCAAAGTTATATGAAAAACATTCTTTGCAAAATATAAAATAATACCTTAATTACAGATTAAATTTTTTTACAGTATAGTTTTTAAATGATACTAATTGTCTGTATATGCAACGAAACACTGCAAGAGGGAAAGGAACTGACTTTTAAAAACTTAAAATAATGTATGCAAATCACTAAAAAAAAAGTGTAAAATAATCTCAACTTTTGAAAAGAGTTTAATGAAATATTCTTCATTATATTTTTGTTAAAAACCATTAGCAAGTCAATGACTATTCTGCTATGAAAATAGATTGATTGACATTTATAATTTTTTTAGGGAATCTGTCCATGAAATACTTCAGATCCTGCGCAATACTAGCAATCCTCAAGTGGAAAACATTGTGAGAGTTATGAAGAACTGGGCCAAAGAGAACAGGATCCCAGTGTGATGCCCTTATTCCCTCCCAAGAAAAGTTTACTGTATTTACAGTTTTAATATTTACAATTACATGTAGAAAGAAGCAACAAAAACATTTATCCATCCATAAATCTGTAAATTTTGTATTTGACTCTATTTTATTGTACTTTTATTACATATGTTTAGAAAATTCCAAGCAGTATTTTATTTTCTAGTCATTATGATAATATTTTTACCAGTTTTTTGTGTACAATTTTTTTAACAACTATTTCCTGGAGTCATATATATATTTATATATATATATACCCTACTGATTTACTACTGTACACACCAAAATAAATCTTGCTTACAACTTTTTTTAAGTGTTTCTTATGGATTACCAAGAACCTACTGGAATAGTTTTTGCTTCAAAGTCTTGCAGTCTGTAATGTAGTACTTAAAGACAAAAATACATATCTTAATGACTAAAATATATCTTATTTTAATGTTACATTTTTTACAAAATATTCTTATAGAAATTGCATCCTATTAACACAATTTTGTTCCCAAGTGTTCCCACAAAACAAATTACTTCTTACTGGCATGGTTTTGTTTTACAAACTGAAGTGCATCCCATCAGCACTTTTTATCATATTTGATACATCCTGCTGGTACAGTTTCTTTGTTACCAAGTATAGTTCTGGTTAATGTATATTCTATTAGCATAATGTTTTTTGTTTGTTTTTTTTTACTATGTGCATCTTAGAGACATCCCAGAATTGTTTTAGCCTGTTCCCACTCAATGTACAGAACTTTTAGTATTTTTTTTAGCCAATGAAACTTTGTATACAGTTCCTTTTGAAATTTTAAAAATGATTGTTCTGCACTTGCAACTATCACTGGATAAATAAAAATATGTGCACTCATAACTGGGACACTGGATGATAAGGAACTCAACTGTTTTTGATGGTAGATATTTGGGTGATTTCCTTCCTCAGAGCTGATAGTTTTCTAGGAAGATGTTTTTCTTGTACCTTTTTTCCTATAATTCTGCCACTCTGCTTCATTTTTCATTCAAAGTATTTGGTAAGATTTTGGGTTTCACAAGGTTAAATGTTGAAATGACCTTTTTGGCGCTACAGGAATGATTGTGAAACTAGCCTTTAATTATATATGTATTGCCATTGGAATATTAATGATACAAAAGTATAGCACCTCAATCAAATTTTTATTTTCATGTTCAATATTTATTACATAAGTTCTCTTAATCTTTTTTCCAAGCCAACATCTCTGATAGAATACAATATTGTCATAGCTTATAACTGCCTGTCAGATGTTATTCTGTAAGTTAATTATTCATGTGTAATTACTATGGTATTTAAAACTGTTTCTTTTATATATCAATCAACCTGAAACTAATTTCAAGAGAAAAGTTGAAAGCTTGCTTGATAAATTTTGAATACAGTGATAAACACAAGATTAACTTGTTATTTCTGATCATTGATAACTTTTATTTTATTGTTTTATTTTACTTTTTTTTATATATATAAAATTTATGTAATTTTCAGTGGGCCATGGTAGCCACTATACATCTAGGCTATCAAGCAATTGCCCATTTGCTCTACCTATTCTTATGTCACTACTTAAATGCATCTTACTGACAGTGTTTTTTCTTGTAATCATTTTTTTTTTCACAAAGTTTATTCTGGAGACTAAGAAAATGCATTGAATGGCAGTTTTTATTACCAGGTGTCTCATAAGCTAAAAATGTACAATTTTATCACTGAATTTGTTTTGAAATACCTCCTGTTATAAAAGAATTGTATCACACCAAGTTTTCCCAACTGATTATTTTTTAAGAATCATTTTTTAAATGTGCCATACTTTAAATAACTTGTTTGGATATAGTTTCTAATAAATTTAAGTTTTCTCAAAACTTGATTATCCTTTTTTACATAGATTTTCTTATGAAATATCTCCAATAGCTCAATCATTTTATTAATTCATTTTACTGAGTTTGATTGTTCATTTATAATATAACAGTCACTTTTTCCATTTCCTTTTAATCTTATATCAAAGGAATCCTGAAGTATAATAGATTTTACATGCTTAAATATCTCATACTTGCACCATTGATATTCAACTAAAATTGTTTTAACATATAAGTTGTTTTACATAGTCTGAAAGTGGTGCTGGAACAACTTGTGTTATCTGTTACATCTTATAATCTTCTACGTACTTATAGTTGTTTTACATAGTCTGAAAGTGGTGCTGGAACAATTTGTGTTATCTGTTACATCTCATAATCTTCTATGTACTTATAACCATAGTTTGTTTGTTTTCTCACAAAGTTTCCCCCACAGAGTGTACAATATATTGTTACAGATTTTTAACATATATCTTGCATACTTTTAAAATTATTTTTAACAGTTTTTTTTATCAAGTATCTCACACTATCAAAATATCTTATTGAGACAGTTTTTATTTTCTTGTGTATATTCAGTAGACTATATTTGCTCTGTATGTTAATTTAAATTTAAAGAATTTCTCACACATTAATCCATCCTTGTGATACCTTTTTATTAAACTTAGTGTCTTAAATATTAATACGTCTTAATGCAGTTTTTTACAAACTATATTCCATTATGAACTAGCATAAATTTAGATGTAGTATTGTATATATCTTGACACACAGTGGTGGCCACTTGCTACCTCAGTGATAAGCTTGTTGACCTATAATGCTAAAAATCTGGTTTCAGTATGTAATGTGGGCACAGTGCAACTAACCCATTGTGTAGCTTTGCACTTCAAACAAAATACAAAGTACTGAAGGCTTAATTTTTAATTTTGACTGAACAATTGAAAAATTACTTTAGCTGTTCCTGTTTCTACAAAAGTTGCACTGAAAAGATGATAAATTACAGGTTTGTTAGTGTGACTCTACTCTCATTCCTGTGTTTGTAAAGTATGTTTATAGGTTCAATACTGTTTAGTGGGTTAATTTTTATGTACAGAATGTGGTTGGTGTGATTTATTAGTTGTTTAGTTAATTTCAGTACAGCTAACCATCAGTCAGAGTTGAATCACAAAAGTGATTGTCATTTATTTAACATTAATTGTTGTTTATTTTAGTTAAAAATTGTTAACTGATATTCCACGTGCATAGTTTTGCTTATGAATCTATTTGCAAATTTAAAGATGGTTATATTCAGTACAAGACTCCATATTAGTTATCACAAAACTTGTTTTTTAATCATGACTATCCTGTCAACTTACATAAGTTAGAAATCACACAAAAAATTAAATTTCAATATATTTGCTACTAATTGATGTTCTTAATTTTCTTGGTTTTGAATCATTTTAATAATTTGATATATTTCTTTCATTATTGAAAACATCTACAGGTAGAGGAAAAAATGGAAACACCAATGTAAAGTCACTTAAAAGGGTGTTGAGCCACCACATGTGGCCAGTACAACCTGTATATGCTGTGGCATAGAGTCTAACAACATCTGGAATTCTGCATGAGGAATGCAACACCACTCTTCCACGAAAAAGTCAATCCACTCATGCCTAGTTGATGGAAATGGAAAATGCTGAAGAGTTCTTTAGGTTGGCACCACACATGCACTTGTCCATTTGCTGAGAACACGGTGAAGGATGAATCTGACCACATCACATTTCTCCACTGTTCGGTAGTTCATAGCCTGTGCACTTTGCACCACTGGACATGCAACCGCGCATTGCCAGGTGTGATGAGTGGTTTGTGCACTCGTCCATTTGTCGAGAACATAGTGAAAGATGATTCATCTGACCATATCACATTTCTCCACTGTTCAGTAGTCCATAGCCTGTGCTCTTTCCATCACTGAACACGAAACCGTGCATAGCCAGGGGTGATGAGTGGTTTGTGCATTGTAACCTGACTATGGTATCCCATTCTGTGGAGTTCTTTGCAGATCAGTTTTGATGAAACTGGCTGCTCTTCCACAGATTGAAATTTGTAGTCAATTTATCTGTTGTTGCTCGCCTGTTTTGCCTTGCAGTTCGATTTAATGTACAGATATCACGATTCTGGAGTATGCTCTTCCACCCGCTGTTTCCCTTTGCTGATGATGTCTTTCCCTTAGAGTTCAATGCTGAAATCACCTTAGACACCATTGCTCATGAAATATTAGCAAGTTGAGCTGTCTTGGTCACTGAAGCTCCCAGCAAATGCACCCCAACAATCAATCATCCCTCTTTCAAAATAACTGAAGTCTCCTCTTGCAGCCGTGCTAGCCATGATTATAGGCAACCAGGCCTGTCCAGCATTTTTATACATAATGCTCTGCATGCTGGGATGTTATTATATTAATTAATGGATGAGCCACACCTGTGTGGTAACCTCTGCATTGCATATACTTGTTGTCCCTCATTTACCCAGGTGTTTCCATTTTTGTCCATTTCCTGTATTTATAAAAATGTTTTGAAATTTACAAAAGGAGTTAAGTCTACATTCGTTTTTATGAAAGTGCGGTTAAAACATAGTGCTATGGTAATTTTACCTCTCTCTATATATTTTCTATAAAAAAATGCTATCAAGTGCAAAGATTCAAAAATTTTTAGTATGCATGATTGTACATTTTGCAGGAATATCATACTTTAGCTACATGAGTATCATACCATAATTTTATTATTATACTCATTTAATTTTAGATAGTACTGTAATTGTACTGTTATAAATGATAAAAACATGTTCTTTAATCTTCTATATGAATTGCTTTTTAAGTTCTTAACATAACACCTACAATTCAAAATCAATTTTACAACTTTTCAATTAAACTATGCATGATTTTATATCTATGATTAAGGTCTCAAACATATAACATGATGATATAAAATTAATTCAGTGGCCTGTAGAAATCTTTATATGTATTTATTTATAGGTGTAGCATTACTGAATTATCATTTTGTGAATGTATAACAGAAATAACTTGTCATTCACTAGCAATGATAGCACTGACACCATCACATGACTGTTGATGAAAGCAAATGTACAAGTGTGAACAGTAGAAATTATGTTTTCATTGTAAAAGGTGTCAAAGAGAAAATGGGGGGGTAGTACTTTAGTGGGCTGCACCTCCCCAGATTTCCCTCTGCCCAACCCAAGTTCATTCTCCCTAGTGGTTTAAAATTGTATTGTTTTTTAATTGCTAAGATGAGTCAACAAAAACTCCACTTACAAGGGAGTAGAGCTGTAGAAATGGTCTGTTACTAAAATACCATTGTGTGGAGGAACAATAAATAAACTTGTCATAATATATATATATATATATATATATATATATA